AGGATGTATATAATGAGTGACAAAAATAGGTAAACACCTACGGATATTTATCAGAATTCAAGAATATTTTACATATCGACTTATCTTGCCATGAACAACAAGTGATAAAATGATCAGGTTTTCTGTTACATTTTTAGGGTGGCTGCGTTTGGTGATAAAGAAGCATTCAGTTTTCGTACATTTACGGTGTCAGTTAAATGTTAAATTACGTGTAGCTTATAGAGAAGCCTTTTTGTGATGCCTAGCCAGCTAAGTGACTTTGAGAGGGGTCGAATTGTCGGCTTGCGTTAAGCCGGTCTATCGATAAGAGAAGTTTCTAGGCGGACCAACAGATCCTTATGTAATATACTGCAGTGTGAACGAGCGTGGACTCGGGAACACCGAGGACAGCGAGCGAGGGGTTCTGGATGTCCCTGAGGGACCACAACGCGTACAAGACCGCCAGTTAAGACTTCTGGCTCTGAGAGACAGAATCAGTACTACTCCAGTCAACGCTAACAAGCGGTTTGAAGAGCATGGGAGGATGGTTGGTATATCGCCGAATACGACAGTTTGGCCTTTTTTCTTATCGCTCACATTAGGTGCTACCTCTCACAGCTGAACATCGGCGTAACCGTTTGCTTTGGTGTAGAAGAAAAAATCTATGAAACCGGGAGTGGAATCAGGTGGTCTTTACTGACGAATCCCGCTTCTGTCTGAGGATGCACGATGGTCGGGCAAGAGTGAGAAGGCGACGTGGTGAAAGACGTGACCCACAATTTTACAGAGAGCGTCTCGTTCACCACACCGTGGGCGTTATGGTATGAGGTGCTATTGCTTATGGTAGCAGATCACCACTACATTTCATCAGAGGCAATATGACCGTCCGACGCTGTATTCAGGAAGTAGTGGAGCCTCATCCTATTTCATACCTAAACCCCATCCGAAACCCAATAACGAATAACAATAGTGAAAATGACAACACTGTTCGGTCCAACCAGACGCCCATGAATTCTTCAACCAATGAGAATAACAGCACTATAGTGGTTGCTCCTATTTCCAGAGTTAACTATGTTGTCTTGCCGTACATCAAAGAACTAACACCAAAATTGATCAGGCTGTATAATTCCTTTAATTGTTGTTTTGCTTATAAATCAATGCTCACAGTCAACAGTTTGTTGTCCAAAATGAAGGATAAGGTTTAGTTGCTTGATTCAACCAACACTGTCTATCGCATTAATTGCAACAACTGTAATTTATTTTATATAGGCCAAACTTCGAGGTCACTGAAAGGCAGGATAACTTCACACAAAAGTGACGCCAGATTACATCCAGAGAGGTGTTTGGCATCTCATATTAACAACACAGGAAACTCTATGAATTATGGCAGTATTGTGGTTCTTGACAAAGGAAAAAGACTATCAAAACGTTTATTTTTAGAAATGTCCCACATTTTCATGACAGATCATTGCATGAATAAAAACAGCTTAGTGTCATTTATTCCTACCCGTTGAATTGCGAAAAGCTAGAACGGGTACATATCCAAATCGAACCAACGTCGTCCCAAAATTAGAATACATTTCCAATTGCTATCCTGGTAATTGAAATTTCTCACTCACAATCTTTAATATAAACTCACATAACCCATCTTTTCAAGTGTATCTCACATTCGTGAACTCATATGTACTACACATTTTTCCAAAACAAATTATTTCAGCATTTTAGTAATTTGTGTGGAGGTTTACCGAGCGTCCCTCGTATGCTTCATACCCAAATTGGACAATGAGGTTTACAATTCCACGTTCCGTCGCATCAATCACATGTCATCTGTCGACGCATTATCTTTCCGTTCCGTCCCCCTCTCCACGTGTAGCGGAAGTAGGAGGTTAGAGACTGCATTCCGATTGTTTCCCTAAAATGTCTTCTCATGTTTAATAATTTTTAATATGTTCGGGTGTATTGATATTTTTAACATGTAACGAAGGTATCTGTCGTTATCAACGAGCCCAATGTCTCCGTCCTTTTGTGTTTTATTTATAACAAGAAAGTTGTTTGACAATTTAAATCGGTCCTGTATTCGTTGCTAGCATCACAATTGTGCTTTCAGAATCCTGATGAAGGCTCCATAGAGAATGCCGAAAGCTTAATTTTATCGACAAAAGAGTCAACTTAAGCCTAAAAATTTCGCAATTAACAATTAATTATATTTTGTGCCCAACTGGTCGTTGGCAATGGCAATGACTACTGCTCATATATATATATATATACTTAGAAAACGTGACTTATTCTTTATCTCATTAAAATTGAAACCAAAAATGTCACGGTCATTAGCAATTTTATTGGCATTGTTACTCATCATATTAACTGGTGGTTGGTCTGTGCTCTTTGACATAAAAAAGGAACACTAGCTCGTGAAGCTAATCGTTGCTCCAGAAATTGTAACTGCGTGAGGATTTGGGAACAGTCTACTTGGCCATGCAATAATTTATGTAAAATCAGTACCGAAAATTGATTCCGTCGCTGCTCTAAAGATTGAAAATTAAACTTTTGTAAAAGGTTTTTATAACCGGAACCTCTTGCAGGGTATATTCCATCAGTTTTGCAACTCAGAAACTTCAAAAATTTCTGGGAATTTCATCAACAGCATTAACATATTGTTTATAAATATGGTTCCATATAACAGATCCATATTCAACTTTGAACTTATCAGGCTAAAAAATAAAGATCTCAATGTACAGATATTGTCAAAGTTCCTACAGTTTCTGATTATGAAGCCATACGTTTTAGATGCACTAGAAATTATTTGGTTGATAGGATAATAGAAGGTGACTTCCCGGTCAAAGTAGATACCTGAATCTCTCACACTCGCAAAGCGCTCCAATAAGCAATCCAGGTCATAAACAGCAGAGGATTAGCGGACAGAGAGACAAACCGACAGGTCGACAGACCAACGGAAATGAGTGATATGGTTTTCCGTGATGTACATGTCCTATAACTTCCAAACACAACATCTCACTTTCGAAATTTTTCAGTATTACAATACATCCTCGCCTGGGCCTGGGATGTGGAAAGAAATCACTCAGGCTATATTCTAGTAGATGTCATTTTGTACACTGTCATCGTCATACCCAAAAAGTACAAAAGCTTATGCAGCGTCATGATCAAGCCGTGGGAGTTGAATTGACAGGCTGAATTTATTCTGCAATCTGCTAAAGTCAAAGATCTACAAAGGACATTAAGTCTCTTGGCGGAGATCGCTTATGTCATTCATACTGTTTTATTATTCATAATCACGTAATCTGGCCATTTCAGCAACTGAGCGTTATCAGTTATCATGGTGACAGGGCCCATCCCCTGACAAAACTTTGAATGCGCGGAGGATCGTCCAGAAACGGCCAACTTTCGCAAACAGTATCACGTTTTTCCATTTGGGAAACTGTCACAGGGTGAATGAGATTTAAGTAGAATTAAGCAAGAAGTACGAGAAAGGTCATTAGAGGAAGTTCTATTTCATTCTCCGCCTTTTCTACAGGGAGATACGGACGCACGTATATAAAGGACTTGATTTACATAAGAAAAAATCGTTTGATTCAATTTAGCTCTACTAGCTGTTACTAGAACAAATATGTTAAAGTTTTCTCCATTGTATAGCTCATGTGGTAAAGCGAATGACATTGCGGATCAATTATATATATTTCTCTGATGTCCTGTCTGCTGCGTGATTCCTTATGATGTCTTGTCTGCTATTTGCTATTTAATTTTTATCTACACTGTCATTTTTGTAAATATTGTATATAGTAGTAAGATTTGCCCATTGCTTTTTAGCCTATCAGCATAGATAAAATAAAACTGAAGAAGGATGTCCGTGAGCTTTTACTGTTTTTTAATCCACTTGCGGATGACGACATTAACTCATTTATGCCTAAAGAGTTGCAAAAAAGGTTTTTTCATTATTTTTTAAAAAACCTTATTAAAAGACAACGCTTTGGAGGTATTTTCAATTTATTTTTAAAAAAATACATAAACAGTTAGTTTTTTAGGATGTACTATACGTAGTACATTAGGAATAAAGGTAGCTATAAGAATAATGATAAAAAATATTGAAAATGGTACAAATATTTTGAAACACATCAATATTGCAAATTTTAAAGAGTATGATATTGAACAAAACATTTCACGTGAAGGTCGACATCACATTTTCTACATCTAGTAGTCGTACGCTCATGACAGTGTGCACACCTTGTTTGTTTGCCTTGTGGAATGACTAAATGATCTAAGTGATCATACCTTATGTCATCAAAATTTCTTGATTTACCTTGCTGGTACGTATAAGTCTTCTTATTTTGTGTCAAGATAGTTGTAGCTACACTTCTTCTAAGTTGTAATTGATCCACGTTATTTCCTTCTTTTTATAAATATGCCAGGCGTTTGTCAGGGCCATATCTACACATTGAGAGATCAGCGAGGAATACCATTTTTTGCCTCGGATTGGTACTCTGTATTGAGCTTATTGTGGTCTGACGCATCCACCCCGCCATACATTATTATACAGCTTGACAACTTGGGGCTGATCTACATACACAAACTTTTTCTTTTTGAGAATACCGCTTACTGAATTTACTGGTTCAATTCCAATCGCTGTAGACCCAAAAGTTACAATATTGTTGTCATTCCATTTTACAAAATTAAGGTTTTATCTTTTACTTTGGTATAACCATAAGATGTAACCAAGGAGGTAGTAGCGCCCAAACCCAAATTTGGAACCCATAACGTTTCCCGTGGATCTTCCGTTTACACCATGTCGCCCGTTGTATGGAACCATTTGCATCATCAATACTATGATGCTCTTTTGGGAAAAAATTTCCCAAATTTTCCAAAATCATGCTCCACCAAGACAATGCAAGCTTGCACACAGCAGAAAAAACAAGGCAATATTTAACGGAAGAAAACGTGGAATTATTGGACCATCCTCCATATAGTCCCGATCTAAGTCCTAACGATTTCTTTACTTTCCCGAAAATTGAAAACAGACTGCGTGGTCAAAGGTTCCAGTCACCAGAAGAAGCAGTTGACGCATTCAAAAATGCCGTTTTGGATCTGCCAGCAAACGAGTGGAATAAGTGCTTCGAAAATTGGTTCTAGCGCATGCAGATGTGTATTAATCTTCGTGGAGAATACTTCGAAAAACAATAAAGTTATTTAAAACTACATACCGTGTTGTTTTATTTCAATATGCAAAACTTAAAAGACATCCCTCGTACAAGGCCCAGATAAGGGCTATCCTCGAGCATTGCTCACATGTTTGGGGTGCTGCCGCCCCGTGTACATTATTTATGTTCGATGCTGTCCAGAGGAGCGCTGTCCGACTAATCGATGATTTTTCACTAACAGACAGTCTCGGCACCCTTTTGCACCAGCGGACCGTCGGCGATCTAGCTCCCTTCTACCGCTACACCAACCCTGCCCTGCCAGACAGATCCGCCTGACTTTTGCCTCCCATCTTAACCATGTTGAAGTTCGTACATCCAGAACTGGCCGATACGACCGCTCCTTTGTCCAGAGGGTGTCGAGATTGTGGAACAGTCTACAAGAGGAAGCTTTTCACAGTTCTACTAACCTTAGGCAGTTCAAAAATCGGATCAACAAAATTTCTTTGGGATCATCATAGCAGTCGCAGTGCTACGGGACTTAGGCTTCCGCCTGCGCGGCTGCTTCGGCTTAAAAAAGCATAGTTGTCAAGTAGTTGGTAACACCAAGATCAACGGGACTGTCAGGCACTGTCGTGTCTGTATGTATGGCTTAGGAAGTCCAATCAGCCTTATATATTCCTCTGAAGATCGAAAAACATATATCCAAGCTTCTTCATTACAATCGCGGTGCCCCAGCTAAAATTGAAGAATGAGGGGTGTTTGTAGTTTAGTTTTTGGACATTTGGGGGTCCCCTTTAAGCCAGGTATCTGACTACGAGTGCCGTGAGCCCATAGGGTGAAGACTTTCCCACTGGATTCGTTGATCCTGTGGCGTAACTCTGAATTACCCTGTAAGGAGGGATGGACGAAGACATGTAGGAGGATTTCCCAAGTTTCATCAGGAAACATAATTTGCGAAATCTTTCTGTAACACTAAATCACACCGGCCTTAAGTAATGGGCCGTGAAACGTGAGCCGCCTTAATGAACGCTGCGCTGCTGAAAAATCAATTTTCTGCTGGCGAGTTATGAAATCTCCACAACTTTTTCCTGCACGGCCTTTATGCCAAAATTACGATTAATGTGGAATTGGAAGAGAATGGAGTAGATAGAACACTAGGCAAAGGCGTGCAATGGTGAAAAGTTGTTTGCTCGTCATGTTGCAGTTCGTTACAACCATGCTATGCTTTTGTCCATCCAACCAGAGACAGCTATCAAAGGAGAGCTGTTCCATACTTTCCGGTTACTTCTCAGCATGGCCTAGGCTTGAGGCTATCAGACAACGGAAGAAAGCATAGCAACTTAGTAGGTGTACTCTACTTACCATTTAAGAAAACAGGCATCCTCTGCTTTCGTCCGTCGGACGCAGTGTTTGGCAGTGGTCGATTCTAGTGGTAGCTGGCGCTTATTCCTATAGATCACACACTTTATTAGTGTTTGTTGTCAGATAGACCCAAACATAGACCATGCTGAGGAGTAGACAAAAAGCACGAAACAGCTGTGGACAGTTGGCTACCTTTGGTCGGATGGACGTATGCAAAACATGTTTGTTTTGTTCAATGGCAAGTAGACCACATCTACAACACAGCTAGTATCACCATCTAGCGGTCGTGTGCAGACTGGGCCTTCAATTCGCGCACTGAGATCTAAACAGTCCCAGCCGGTAGGGTGCGATTCACTGTTTAGCAGTAGTCGATGCTTCGTGCTGTTCGTTTTTTATTTACAAATAAGTTTGCGAGCGAGACCATTTTTGGCGGAGAAATATGTTTTAAGGTTTCTTATGTCATAAAATGTCTAATCGCAAAGCTAACATCGTCTTTTGAGAGAAGACTGAGAGTCGATGACGGGATTTCCGCACTTTTCATGCAGATACTGACTCGGAGAGTGAATCTTCTATCGGCGTTGAAGAGTACAGTACCTCGAAAAGTAATCAAACCACGCCCACTCTCTATTAATTGTCCTACTTCCCCATTTATAATAATTGTCGCTCTAGCAAAGTAAGTATGCTCGCTGAGGGAAGTGGATCCTGCATTTGGACAGTTGCGACTGCGTACAGATTTGGAATTCGGAACTGACGTGGTGTCCGATTTTGGTCGCATTTCCAGCAACTTAATCGTACTCACGATTGCCAATAAGGACGAAATAGCGCTGTACATATCACGAAAGTGCTTTACAGAATTTCGTCACAGTGGGAAGCGTCTTATCCGAGTATATCTCATCCCGTTACCTCCATCCATACATACACTTGTATACAAGTCTATACAAGATAACTTGCAATTTTAACTCAGGTTATGCTGAGTAAGCAACATATCAGAAAGGAAAACTGAGTGCCGGCGGGATTCGAACCTGCCTCTCCTCCGTTCTGGGGAGCGGACTGTTACCCTCGTGCCAGGGGGGTGCTTGTAGTTGCACTTAACTGCACGATGAATATTACTTCTGGGATTCGAAGAGGTTGTTCATTTGGAGGATTAGGGCGCTGGGAGAAATGAAAAGATTGTCAAATTCCAGAGCTTGCCGAAAATCTATTTAACTATTTTTAATAAATCACCTGAAGGGTGCTATTACAAAGTTTGCAACAAACTACCTGAAGGGTGCTATGACAAGGTTTGCAACAAACTATCTGAATGGTGCTATGACAGGATTTTTAAGTATTCAAAATGATCACAGTAAGCTCAAAATTTCACTTTGCAATGGTTAATCGATCACCTAACAACAAATGAAAACGAACATTAGTGACTTACCAAGTTTCCGGGGGTATGAATACCTCAGGATCACACCAGTTGTGAAGTTAGGATAAATAATTCGGGTTAAGTGAAATTAGCTGCTTCAGTATATAGATGCAGTTCGACGGGGTTTCAGCACATGGCGTCTGTTGACATTGGCGACAGCTGAATCAGCTCCCTTCCTCAGGGGCTGCTTGGAACTCTCATTACAGGGCAGGGCGTGGAAAAGTCGTCAGGGCTTCATCTGAAGGTATCAGCAGTAGTTTGGTGGAGAAAACGTAAGGTGAAGAAGACGAAAGGTTGGAAGAAGATGAAAAAGTTGGAAGAAGATGAAAAAGGCCTGAAACAAAAATCCAATATGGCGCCGGGTTCCATTTTAACGCAAGCCGGATTGCTTACCTCTGTTGGAGTGTGGCCTAAAAGTGTCGGCTAGAACGCCGTAAAAGCGTCGAAGACTCCCGTCTCCCACATCCCCGTAGGATTATATGAGACATAAAAAGGAAAAACGCTTAGACTTTATTTGGCGTAAAGATCCGCAAAATGCGTGCTTCTCAACAGAGCTACGACCAAAAAGTGAAGTCTCTTCAACTTGGACACGGAACACAAAGTTCGAGAGGAGCAATGGAGCAATGGAACAACAGCGGACTGTTCCCGGACTGAAAGGGCCGAACACTTGTCAAAATGTAACATTGAGGTTAGGAAAGAAACGAAGACGTAAACAATTCTCAGAGGAAGGGGCCTCAACTACAAAATGAGATAATAGGTGGAGAGTTACGTATAAACCATAGAGAAAATCTTCAGGTAGTTAAACTAGAAATATGTCTACCCTTGTTTAGTGTTTACGATTATTGCAGGGTCACGGCAGTTCCTACAAGGTTTGGACAAAGTTTTCAAATTAAACCCGTAAGAGGACCTAACCAAGTAGTCGACACCAGACTGTTCCTTTGCTCTTTCAAGCTGCTTCATGCCCCGTCTGGCGGCTTTCAAGTAAAACAAATCGGATTGGTAAGGTATGTATCTCTAATCGCTTCACCGTTGTGCCATTGTACCAGCGAAACCTGTATAAGACTTCGGATGAGGAAATTCGCAACATGTTTAGTAAACAGTAGAAAGGAAAAAATGCTCACCAGGCGTCGTGGTGCAACTGAAAAGGGATTGGATATACCTTACCAATCCGGCTTGTTTCACTGGCAGATGGGGCGTCAAGCAGTTTGAAGAACACAGGAGCAGAGGCGTGAGTAGGATTGAATTTGCCTCTAGTAGTCGATCATTAAAGTTGGTTGGGTAGGCTCCACAGAATGGAGGAAATGCGGGCTGGAGTCCCGCCGGCGCTAATTTTTCTTTCTCTCAAGTTGTTGTTTACTAAGCATATGAGGTCATGCTGTAGTGCAACCTATTTCCTAGACTATAATTATATACTTTCATATTGATTTTGTAACATTATGTATTATTGTTGCGTCCGTAGCAATTGAGAAATATCGGTCAAGATACCTATAGCTACCTCTTGCTATGCGGTACCCAGCGCGATAAACCACGTGTACTGCTGGCGCTACCAAAACGGGTAAGGTGCCTGAGGTGAATAAGGCCCACCTAACTTTGAAGCTAGAAAACTCAGGAATTATATTAAAAAAATTGAAAAAACGTAGTTCAGTAGAAAGCTTTTTCATTTGAGATAAGAATAAAAGATAAATAGTAACACAGAGATCATCATGGAAATAAGCATAACAATTTTCGAAAACTCTTGCCATGGGTCTGCTAAAATCAACAAAAAACATTTTATTACATACATTTAAGAGATAATAACAATGGGCCTTATTAACCTCAGACTTTGGATTGGGAACTTTGGAAGTAGATTCGTTTAGAAATATTGTACATGAACGACTAAGAGGATCGATTGAATGCAAATAAATAGTCCATCAATATAGATCCTAGTTTACCTAATGATAACGATACTTATTCATCACAGTTTTGACAAATAAACAATTCCTTATCAACCCTACGCATTCTTCGTGGTACCATATGTAACATTTAATACACTGTTTCATATCCGACACACGATTTTCCTTGCAAGCACAGCAAAACCAAGATTCTTCTGACGGAACTTTGCTTCTTTTTCTTTCATCACAATGAGATCGTTGTTGGTTTCCATTTTTAGTTTTCTTTTCTGATATTTCTTTGGTTTTTCTTTTGTAATTTTCCAGTGTTGTTTTCTTTGTCTTCTCGTTTTCATTCAATGCTTCTCGTTCTTATTATTTTTTGTTACAGCATAGTTCGGACTTGGCAATAGCTCTTGAAAAGGAGACCTAAATTTCTTAGCATTGAAGTTAGCTGAAGGTATGTTGTCATC